GGTTGGTGAAAAATAAAAGAGTAATTGATTGTGGAGAGAGAGATCGGGAGAGAGAGAGAGAGAGAGAGAATGAAAAAGAGTAATTGAGGGTGAAAAGTATAATAATTTTCTTATTAATTTCTCCCAAGATGCCCCTAAAGAATTGATGACCCTAATAGTGGTATTGTTAGTCGGTGGTTCGAATGAAGGATCGGTTACCTTGTATCGAAAGTCCTCATCACATGGTGGTGGATAGGATGCATGTCCTGTTGAAAAAGTGTCAACGATAGTACAAATGTATGTGGATGAAAGAGCTTTTGCATGAGGGGGAGCATTGTTGATATACTAGCACTTTAGAGGGATTCTTGAGAAAAATAAGTGTGAGTTGAAAGTGTTGAAAATCAAGTGTAAGGTAGAAATTCCACATTTATTAGAAAAATGAAGATTGAATACTTTATAAGTGAGAGAATCCATACATCTATCACCTTAAGATTTTGGGTGAGTATGTGGTGTATCTCTCACAAGGTGCGTTGCTCATAAAGAAATGCCTCAATGAATGTAAAATGCTCCCTCGTGTTTAATTTATAAATTTATATCCCAACAACTTATGTGATTACTCTTGGTTCAATGTGTTGAACCATCCCAATAATGTGCGCTCTCCTGAAAGTCCAACAAATAACACCTATACTCCTAGAATATATTTGGATAAAAAAGATAAAAGAAAAGATAAAAGTATAAGAAGAGAAAGAGAATACAAAATAGAATGATTATTTAATTATTTAGTAGTAGAAAAAGTGAAAAGAAAATAAATATTATTAAATAGCATTGTATTGCATTTATAGTGTTAATATATTATAGTGTTAAGATTACTTGGACCGGTACGATTACTCTAAAAGAGAGATCAAACCCGTTTTTGAGAAAGCTTGCTAGAAATGAAAAGGAGGGAGGGTTTATAGTAGTTTTGATGAAAAATCCATATGAATGTGTACTTCTATAGGTTATACGAAGATAAATTTTGATATTAATTTTTGTCAAAAATGAGGGTTTGATTCACTCTCAAATAGAATGGATATGAGCTGCAGTGCATCTTAGATCGGATATGAGTTGGAGTGCATTTAAAAGTACATTTTCAAATTTCATAGATAATTTCAGTTTTTCACGAGGATGCGTGAACACTCCTTAAAATAGTAGAAGTAAGTCCCAAAATTTAAGACAAATATCTTGATTAAAAAGTATGAACTATTTTAAATAAAAGATGATAAAGATGTGGAAGGTTTTCAAACTCTAATATCAAACTCAAAATTCTAAGTAAAAGAACTCTATTCTAAATAAAAATTACATCATTACTCATCGTGTCAAGAAAATTATGAGGAGTCATATTAGACTTTCACATCATCACGCATCTTTATTATGAGGAGTCATATTATGAGGAGTCATATTATGAGGACTTCAATTCATAAAAAGAATTCTGAAGTAACATGAATTAATAAACTTCAATTCATATATTATCTCCATCAGATAATATATGAGACTTTTAACATTAAATGGTTGAGGAGGGGTTCCTGAAGCAGCAGTCCAAGGAGGGGTATTTTTATCTCCATCAGATGCCTGGGGAATTCGAGTTGTGGCGACACGTATTGGGCTAGAATGAAGAAATGAACTCAACAATATAAACACCTATAAGTTCATGATAATTGCTAAAACAATGGTAAGCAGAAACTATAAATAAGTTCCCATTTGCTTACAAAGTTTAGGTGTCAAAATTTAGAAGTACAAAACACCTCTTCCACATCATCATAAAAAAATTTCTTAAAGATATCCATACAAGATGCCTCCAAAGAAATTGCCACCACAATGCCATCTCCATCACCATTATTATTCATAACAAATGCTTTTCCTTCAGAATCCATGTACCCTGGCCCAAAATTATATGGTTCTCCCAATCCAAAATCTGCTTCCTTATATGAAAAATTCATCCAACTCACAACAAATAAATTTGGACTTCCTTTGAATTGTCCCTTCTCACACACACTCTTTGCAGGGTAGTGAAAGTTATACCTTAATAATTCCATGTCCTTCTCATTATCTATATAATCAAGTGCTGACATTACATACTCCAATGTCACCCTCTCCAGTGCGTTCCTAACATCTTCAACCGCATTACCTAAAGGTTTGCAAATAAGATCGTTAAAGGAGCGGGTTGGTGTCACGGTCGGAAATGCTGCATTTCCGACGTAACTACTAGGAAGAGGTGGTTTTAAACGATTTCTACAATTAACCAAAGTGGACAACCTTGTCGATTGGTGGTCACTACTTCCACGCGTATAGTGTGCTTTACTGACACACCTCCAAAGATGTCCTGCAATAACCTCAAAAGTTGTAAAAGGTTTTATCTTATGAACATCTTTGGAGACAGATTGAAAACTCACGCGAGAATTAACATTTTTTTTAAGTTTTAAAACTTGTTCTTGCGAGAGTTTCATAATATCAGCACTTGTTTCTCTATTGTCTCCCAAATCAGACATCCAATCCGGAGGTGCTTCAAACTCCGGATGACGATACAATATTGATGAATTTGCTAATTTATGTGAATTTAACAAAGTTCGATCGTGACACGGAAAGTCATTAGGGTCCAAATTCTCCCCACGTACCAACTTAGCCCATGAGCTAATGAAACCCATGGTACCCGCTCCATCGGTCACGGCTCGACACAAAGAAACACTTAACGTAAAACCGCCACATCGGAACCTAGTAAGTTGCACCACCAATAATGGAACATCCTCAATTGGAACATCATAGTTAATGTTTGGTATGAGTTGTGACACCAAATTAGTTGGCACAAAATCACCCAAATCCTTCAAGTTAGTTTCACATTTAGCTTCTAATAGAATCGCCCCTTTGGCGTTGCAATTAAGTTCCCATCTTCCACCTTTGATCCAACTCAACCTTCCAGCTAGTGGATAGTAAATAACCAAAACTTGGCTTAGAGAGTTTCTAAGTGTTTCAAGAAAAGTTGATATGTTGTTATGAGGATGGTAAACGTAGAAGGGAGGAGCATGAGTACGAAGCTTGATTTGTTCACATAATGAAAAGAGTTTTGGATTAGGAGTTGGTTTGGAAGGGATAACAATGGATTGAGATATGATACTCACCGCCATTTTTTTCCCTTGAGTTATGGCTTTGTCTTTGCAGTCTTATATATAAAGAGGCGATTTCAAAATTATTTAATACTCTAGTGAAAAATCTTCCCTTAACACTTATGACGTGTGAGATTGTCATTCTTTTGGGTCCATTAATAATAGTAGAGGACAGAAAACAAAAGCATAACAACTCCTAACAGCTAACGGAGATATTTACATCTTCATGAGCCTGTATGCTCATGTTTCGTTTTTATTATTTTGCTCATGAGCCTTTATGAGTGCTGATGCTGGCCAGCGTGACGGTGACAGGTGTCCCCACCCTTGGACACTTGTCACCAGTCCCTTATTCATCACCCTGGGTATATGGTGATATTGTGTTTCTGCGTTGGACTGCCCACTTGATCAATGAACCAAATCAGATCTGCAGATTTGACGGTCTTGGGCGATCCAGAAGTACATTTTCAAATTTCATAAGCTATTTCGATTTTTTCACGAAAGTGCGTTAACACTCTTTGAGATAGTAGAAGTATGTTTCACAATTTAAGGCAAATATCTTGATTAAAAAGTGTGAACTATTTTAAATAAAAGATGATAAAGATGTGAAAACGATATTTTTAAATTTTCAAACTCTAGTACCATAACTTAAAATTTTAAATAAAAGAACTCAATATTTTAAATAAAAATTACTCCTTGATTGTTGTTTTAGAAAAAAAAAGTTATTTTACAATAAATATTACTTTTACTTTTCAATGTAATAATTATTATTATTTTTTCGATTGTCTTATAATTATTATTCCGTACATTATTTTCAATATATTAATAAAACTAATTTAATAAAAGTGTAATATTTTATGACAATATTATTATATTTTTTAATCTGTATTTAAAAATCTTAAATAACCGTCCTTTTAAACGGAAAAAATACATCATTATCATCGTGTCAAGAAAATTCTCAAGAGTCATCATACTATTATTCAAGAAGTAAACAAAAAAACCATGTCTATTTCTCCCGAATCAAAAGACAAGAAGATCAGGTCAAAGATTTCCAAACTGAATAATCAAAGTAAGAAGATTGTGATAAGCTGAGTGAAGAAGATTGTACTCTTTTTGTTTGAATTATTTTGAAAAGCAATTGAGGCAACGAAAAAATGTCATATCATCTCAAACCTCATAATTGGTACCTATTATTATCTCATAATTCATGAGATTACCACGTCATATTAATTTGTAGTGCATTTTTTCACGTTTTACTTTCAATCAACCTTCTTCCATCCAAATCACTTGCCCCACAACATTTCCAACCAACTTTTTTCTTTTTGTTTGGTCACAAGTTCATTGTACACATGCTGCTACTGATTGTGCATATCTTAAAATGTGCCACAAAATAAAACAGTACGGTTAAAACATATAAATTAATAAACTTTTTGCAAGTTCAATGCATTTAAACAATTATGGTCACAAAGTTTTAATATTCCTCAAATAAATGGAACAACTTTATGGGACTACAAAAGGGTCACTGTTTTACTTGGGATATAAATCAAAATATACCCAATGTATGGGAAAATACAAAGCCCTTATTTATGGAAATGAGTATATCCTCTTATTCTGACATTCTTGAGCATTTGGAAGTAACTTAAGGAAAATCTGTAACCATGTCTACCCTTGACTGCAACTTAGCTCACTCCAATCTCCAATTATTAACCAGTCTCCAACTTGAGACACCATTGAAAATGATAAATATAAAAAACATGATCATATGATACAATTCTAGTTGGGAGAATGTACACTAAAACTATCTCTTTACAGACTAATTTACAATCACATGCTTGGAGCAAGAAAAGGGTAGAGTCCAGGGTAAGACGGTAACCATTGGAAAGAGACTTAACATTGCTTTTTGACAATCTTGACACTGGTGTAGAAGCGTCGGAGATCTTTCATAGCTTTTTCCTCGATTTGAATTGAACGAATAGAGGATGGTGTATCAACTTCGGGTTTGAACCAACGGTTCATCCCAGTTGCTTCCGATGGGGAGCCTAGGCCAGTTGCTATAGTGAATCCAGCAGTTTTAGTCTTTGGACTACTGGAGAGGGCTTGTTTCTTTACCTGTTTCGAAGCAACATTCTTAGTTTAACACTAACTATTGTTACAAACCTATAGGCTCTTAAAGAATCATCACCTACTGATTCAAAGCATACATAACAAACAACAAAAGGATAAACATTTGAAAAGATGCCTTAATTCACAAACCTGTTGCATTTGGATGTCCCTTAAAGACAGCTTAAATGGTTGAGGAGGGGTTCCTGGAGCAGCCCAAGGAGGGGTATTTTTATCTCCATCAGATGCCTGGGGAATTCGAGATGTGGCGACAGGTATTGGGCTAGAATGAAGAAATGAACTCAACTTTATTTTCCCGCAACTGCCAAAATCAGAAAGATCATCCACCTTGTCTTTAACCCCAGGTGGCTTGTTGCCCACTATTTTGCTCTGCTCATCCTGGATTTCGCGAAGAGAAGTAGAACCCTTTCCAAACTTTGCCCCGCCCCAGGCAGGACCGTCATTTTTTGGTGTCGGTGGAGGAGGAGGAGGAGCCACCTCTTCTGGGAGATCATCAAGAGCACCACTCAGAAACATTGAAAGCCCACCCTTCTTGTTCTTCTTCTTGGAAACCTTTGGTGACTGACCCTTACCCTTCAGCAACTCTGAAGCATCTTTCTTCTGTACAACAAAACCTAAATCTTTTTCACCCTGGTCTGCTGTGGAATATTTGCAGATATCCTCTTCCACCTATCAAATGAAGTTGAGTTCTAAGCACTGATATGGTAGGTTTATCTAGTAGACAATTACTTTGCATTGCTAGAAATCTCCATCAACAGTCAAAACGCGCAAGAATTTAAGAGCAGAAAAAAGAAATTCAATCGAAGTATATTTCAACGTAGATGGCATGAATAGCACAATGGAAACCAACCTTTGAATTAGGAGATGGCATGTCCAACAGGTTTTCAGATTCAGGAATCATTTCACTTTTAGAATACACAGATTCTATTTCCGTCTGCTCTATGCTTGATTTGTTGCCACTTTTTCTCCTTTGTTTTTTTGATGATTTACTTTTCTTACTACCTTTCCCTTCTGTTTGTGTAGAAGATGACTCTTTATTCTGTGAGGTCTCGGCAGGAACACCTAGCTCTGCAAGGGAGCTCTCGAGTGCTGACTTAGATTGAAGTTTTGCCATCTGCTGGTCATCGAGAATATGTCCTTTAGACTGTTTAGTTTCGAGCATCTCAATCTGCTGCAACTTCTTCCTTATAGCTCGAACTACTTTGGAGATTTCACTATCAGAATCATCCTTGGGCTGTAGAAAGGAATCTGACCTTTGAGCTTTCTCCAATTTCAATGCAGATATTTTCATGGGTTTGTCATAGGTCTTTTGACACTCTATCTCATTATCATCCTCTTCACTGTCAATGATGACAGGGAGTGTAGCAGTTGGAGTAGGGAGTCGACGGTAACTCCATGCCTCAGATGATCTCTGGTCTAACAACCCTTCTAGGCTCGCCAAAATATCTAGTGAGGCACTTGCTACAGCATGTGTTGAAACTGAAAGTATGTAATCAAGGTTGCGCATGACAATGTCCTGAAACCAGAAAATAAGATGAAGCTTTAGTATACATGCAACCCACCTTAGTTGGCATGGACCAGAATTCAAAACAAGAGATGTAATAAAACAAAATAATATATCACACATCTGACCAAGCAAAAGCATAGCTCTATTACAAAAAATGTTACAAATGCTTTGTATGGTGGTCAACATCAGTACCTCGCAGTATTTCTTCAAATCATCAGCTCCAAGAGAATCAGCAATCTCAAGCAATTGTATGGCATTTCGTGGCTCCAGCAGACACTCTGCTGCTGCTTTTTCACAAAGACTTTTTAAGCTGGGTGTAGATCTCTGTCTAAGATTATCATTTTGAGCTGTATATATTGTATTATGGGAATCGGTATCCTCAAATAAAATGTCTTCATCGAACTCTTCCATACTATTTGTGTTACTCGACTTGAGCTTCTGAGAATCATCAATCATGTTGATAGGGTAGACAGGATGATAAAGGGAAGCCACAATTAATAAATGTGTTTCACCAACTGAAACTGAAGTAGCCTTCTTTACACCAGGCATCCGAGTTGCAACAAGCGGCTTATCCTTACCTTTCTTCCCGTCCCACATGTAAACATCACCTGTAGCTGTAGCTGCTGCAGTCCAGTACTTTCCAGCTGATATGCTCACCATATTTCTCCCACACATTGCATATAACTACAATTTTTTCTAATCAGCATGTTTGTCCAATGAAAATTGTAGCATAAGTGAAGAAAGGAATTAAGTGAAAAAAAACCTGCTGGCATCTAAGATCAGGATCTGAGGAGACCCAATAAAATAATGCACCGTCTTCTGTAAGAGCCATGCTGTGTACCATTCCAGCAGCTATAGAAACTACGTGAAGTCGTTCCTTGCGATGAAACTTTAAAGGAGTGCTTCCACTTTTCTTTAAGTTCCTAGTAATCACAACACGTTTTGGAGTAACAAGTCGGTGACCCCAGGTAAATACCTACAAAACAAGGAACTCGAGATATAAAGATGGAAAGTAAAAACTACTATTAGAAAAAACTACTGATAGGAGACAACAACTACATATACTTGATATAACGTTAAATCATTTTTAAATGTTTGCTTCATATCCATGTACCTGAAAAAAAATTAAGTTGAACTTGAACATAATTTTGTGAAAGTACAATATCAGTGCCCAAAAAGTTAGGCATTACTCCTCTGTAAAATGTTTGCCTTCCAAAATTGTGGTGCAGTTGCAGTAGAAAAAGTTAATAAAAAGTAACTACAGTTCTAACAATTAGAAGAAATTGAACTCATAACAAAAAGACTATAATTAGCAAATAGTTACCTCTCCGTCAGATCCTAAAACAATTGTGTGATATTTTGCAGCAGAAACTCCAGTTAAGATCTTTCCCTTCAAGGATTCAACCACATGCGGGGTGTAGTTAGAGGCCGAGTTTGAGGTGCCGTAACCAAGCTGGCCCTCTCTATTGCCACCCCATGTAAAAACTTCACCTAAATCAGAAACTACAGCTGTGTGCTTGTTTGCTGCAGCAACGGCAACAATTTTGGACTTCAACGAAGATACTCTACGAGCTGTGGGTTGTGTATCAACAGAAGTGTACCCAAGCTGTCCCTCTGCATAACAACAAAGAAGAAAAGGTTGTTGCCAATGCTGTCTCATTCTCAGATTTCATACAACATAGCGTAAACAAATACAACCCCAATTTTCATAAAAGGTATCGCAGGGATGTAGGAAAAAAAGATTACACGGTTGCATCCAGTAAAGTAGTCTACACTTACACACTACAGTCTAAGACTCATAACTTAATGAACATAAATACCGTCAACTAACGTCAAGTTTTACCTCGATTGGATCCCCAAGTGAACACTTCACCGCCCTGAGTAGCAATAACAGTATGGTGCTTAGCTGCAGCAATTGCCATCACTCTGCGAGAACCTAGACCAGAAGTCACCTGGCGGGGAGTGATGACCGCAGCTTGACCACTGCAATGAGTATAACAATATAAAAAACGATAAGTTCATGATAATTGCTAAAACAATAGGAAACAGAAACTATAAATAAGTTCCCATTTGCTTTTGCAGTGAAATTTCTAATGCCACAACTTATTAAAAGTCACTATTTTTAACTACAAAATAAAAAATATGTTTGTGCTTCTAGTTTCTGATTTTGATAAAAGCTACAAAACAACCGCTTCATTCAATCGTATGATAAAAGACACTGCTTCCAGATAAAATCATTTAAACCATATACCTGTGTATGTCAAAGTCAGGATGCCCCAGACGTCCCCCTCTTCCAAATCCCCAAGTATACACTTCTCCACGATCAGTAAGTGCCACACTATGGAACTTTGCCGCAGAAATCAGCTTAATGATCGAACCATTAAGTGAATCAACTTTACATGGTAACTTCTGAATATGCGCATTTCCAGTTCCAAGCTGATAATTTGCACCACTGCCCCAACTAAATACCTCGGTAGCAACTGAGATAAATCAAAGTCAGATCGTCTTCCTATTTGATTAGTTCCTATTCGCAACAACAATCCAAACCATGACAAAGTTGTCAAAGCACGGAAACTTATACCTGAATCGTGTTCATTTCCAAAAACCTGAAACACATTGCCAGATAAGAGATCTATAGGTATTCGAGATTTAGAGTCCTCCAATGAAATTGAAGCACCGTGCTGAAGAAGGATGCTAGCAACAGCAAGATGACCAAAATGCAGAGCCCTGTGAAGGCTACTCCATCCTGATTCTCCATCCTGAACGAATCAATGCAAAACAATGAGACTACTGCAGGCAGTGATTAATAATTAAACAATACCTAAAAATTAGAAAGCCAAATGAAGAAAGACAAAGTGGCATTATATCCACCAGGGTTGCAAAAACAGAATACCACTCTTCATCTGGATCAATGGTCAGAAAAGCATTAAGGTGGAAGATCCGGGTTAATATCAATTTTGGATTGCAAGTGGCTCCTCAAAATTTGATATTAGAGATCAGTTTAACATAGCTTTATTAATTATCTACCATACAAAGGTTTCAACCCAAGTGGCGACATATCATCGCAGATTATATTGCCATCATATACTAATCTAACATAGTTTTACTACCATCTTATAACATTGATCAATAATAATCAATAATAAAGTGATAGCATAAAATGAAGAATGACCGTTATAAGTTATAACAAAAACAACTATCTTGCTTATTGAGAAGTAAACATGAAGAAACAGTCACAAAACCAAAGCTTCTCATAGAAATAGACTAGCACGTATCTATAAAACTAGAAAAATAAAAAATAAAAAAGAGGAAGTTGCCATACCCGAGCATCAGGATCTGCACCAGCCGCAAGAAGCCTCTTTACAATGGGAATGTGGTTTCTCCAAGCTGCAACGTGAAGAGGAGTCAGCCCGAAGGTGTTCCTCAAATTGATATTGCCGCTACTCTTTTTTAGTGATGCTAATGCTGACTCTACATCATTCAGAGTTCCATCTCGCACAACAAGCCACAGATCTTTTTGCGATCCAGAATTAACTTTTCGGCATGATGCCTGTAAATTCTGCTTCTGTACATGTGGACAATTAGCTACTTCCATTATTACAAAATGTACACTCCAAGTAGGTTTGTTATCTTTCACAAAACTTTATCTCAGGCTGACTCGGCTCAGCGGTTAAATTTATAATAACCTTATATTGGTAATTTGAAGAGCACGATTCTCTAAAGCTAATTCACTCTCCAGAACACACTTGACCACCTAATGAAAATAAATAACGCTGGCCATTGATTCATTCAATGCTCACTAATCCATAATGAGATATAATGATCAAAACATCAACTATCCAATTACAAGTGAATTATTCGTCCGCTAATCTGCCATCAACACCATCATCGACATATCTTGTTCATAATATCACTTACGGACAACAATTGACAATTCCCAGCACGTACGCAAGTCAAAGAGAAATCTGCTATAAAAAAATGCGATTAAACAATTGATCTGATAAACCTGGTGGAAAATAATAATATTCAGGACAGGAAGCCACATAAATATGCACAAGCAACTAAAGTCCCTAAGCACAGAACATACGAAACTCATATCAAATAAATCTTCAAATTGAAGTCAATAAATGTATCACTCGATCTGTGCAAGTCAAAATGTATAAAATTATAACATAAGTAATAGCTTCAAAACAAGATCACAGGTGATACTTATGTATATTGAAATCAGTGAGACAAATCAGCCAGTTCTTCTGTTTGGTGTAAACACAAGATCCACAGGTTCAACACTTCAGAACACCAACAATCATCATAGATATTATCAAAATTGAAACAAAAACGATAAATTGAAGCAATGCAAACCATTTAGGGTTATGAGAGAGGACGGGAGATACAATATGAAAGAAAAAAATAACAACCAAAAACAAAACTTAATCAGCAAAGTTTCTTATTCGATCCACACATTCAACAACTAATTCATTACCTCCATAAAAATACAATTTTTAAGCTCAACAATCACTCAAGCAATGAAATCAAGACATGACAACAACCTCAAAATCACACAATTCAAAACAAAACAAAAATTAAAATCAAGTACTAAAAAAACAAACATTACACACAAAAAACGAGAACTCCCTCTAATGTATCACATCGCATACCTCAAAAATCATAAGATCACAGCCACACCAATACCAAGTGTGCAAAAACACAATCTTCAACCACAAACACGAAACTTAGAACTATAACAACAACAAAAACAACAATGTAACACCGATTCATATGAAGCATTTTGTTGGATCATATCCAGATAATAATTTCTCACAGAAATGAAAAATAAAAAAGAAATTGAAGATACCTATTTGATTAAAATTGAAAAGAATGCGTGTAACTCGCCTCTTATCCTGTTGATAAAAAAAACCCAAAGTTCTTCCAAAGAATATGAAGTTAGAAGTTAAAGATGAGAAGAGTTATAGATGGAGAATTTTGTGACCAAAGAGCATCGATTATCGAAACCCAGAATATACCCTCGTACACACAAGTCCTATAACCAAACATAAAAATTAAATCTAGTTTTTTTATATATGGAAATTAAATTAAATTAAATTAAAATTATAAAAAGAAAAGGATATTATAGAAAGGAAAAAGTGAATCACGAAAGGGGTAATTTCGGAAACTAAAATTGATTTCGTTTGGACCAAAACTTCGCTACTAACGACGTGGTCTGAGTTGTCTCACCTACTCAACTGTGATTTTCACCGCCAAACAAGTGTGTTATCCAACGCCAGATGGTTACAGAACAAACTGACACGTGTCTATAATGACGACAAAATAGTATGTTATGTAATATGGTGGCAAAACTAAAAAAAAATAAAAGAGAAATTTATTAAAGGAAATAACTATATCCATTTAAAATGTAAAATAAATTTGGCAAAAATATGGCGTAAATCTTTTAAGTTATATTAAAATAATAACTTAATTTTTTAAGTTTTTCTTTTAACAGTTAGGTTCTTTATATTAACTAATGTTTGTATCATTAATTTTTTTTAGAATTTTCTTTTAAAAAAAGTCTATGTGGCACAGACGGAGATGAAGTGGTAGTTAATTGTGGTGACGTGTTATGGACCGTTGCTGAATTGGCATATGTCTCCTTCTCTCTTAAATTTTTGAAAATCAATTGAACACTGATACATTTGTATCGAGTGTATCACAAATTAGAATCGAGCCGACATGTCTATGTGGAGGCAAAGCAGTGTTGAGAACAGTTAAGAAGAAAGGAAGAAACTTGGAAAACTATTTTGGGGATGTAGATGCTTTGTGGTACTTTTGTTCTTCAACAATGCTGGTTTTGGATTTGATTTATGCATATGTAATTAGTTTTTGTTTGTAGCTGTGTTAATGTTAACAGAGTGAAGATGAAAATGTCGGTTACAAGTTTTTTGTGTGGTATGAAAACCATGATGAAGTCAAACAAGAGATACAACCCTCGCTAATTTTCAAATGCTCCAACTGTGATGGAAAGGATGTTGAAGTCAAGTTGCTTAGAAGTTTGATTGATAAGGATGAGAAATACACTAAGGAGATCATGAACAATTTGTTGAAGACGTTGAATATGCTAGGTTGTGTCACTATGTTATTAGTTTTTATCTTTGGAGTGTTATGTGTACTTTAGTTTAAATTTGGAAATCATTATTAATTTTCATTGTAAGTCATGAGTTGTGGTACTTTCATGTAGAAATTTTTGACAATGATTTGTTAAACTATTATATGTTTCAATTATTGGTAAGGGTTAATGAAATAATTATGTGTTACAATTCTACAATTGTGTTATAATTTGTCATAGTTATGTTATAATTTGTAGACAGATATGTTATACTGTGTACACCATTCAAAATTAGTCTTAAGCATTTCTGTTACAATTCAGCAATTCTATACCACAACTATCATGATTATGTTATAATTTGTACACCAGTCAAAATTGGAAGGACCTGTTTGTTATATTTTAAAAACATATGGGACGCTAGTGTTACAAATTAAAAACATGATGAGCGTGATTGTTACAAATTAAAAACATGAAGGACATGTTTGTTACATTTTAAAATATATCAGACATGTTTTACACAATTGTGAACCTCAAACAAATTTGAAACTCAAACATTTTTGAAACTTAACCTTAAACAATAATTGATATTTTGAACCTTAAACAATTATAAAACATAATACCAAGCATTACATAAACTAATCATAGTTAAAGCATTGTTATAATGTTAAAAACCAAAACAGATGTCAATAGAATAAATCTCAAAATATTAAGATTGTTATGGATCAAACAGATCTCAAAACATTACATAAGATTGTTTTATAACTCAACTGAACATAACATTGTCATAGAATTCAACAAAATTAAACAGATAGCTAAAAAGATATATGATTTTTCTCCTAATAGCCAACTTTGGTCTCATGGTTATTGGTGGTTGAAATGTTGTTATACCATCATGTCTTCCCATTCTCATAGAAAGCAACTATGACACTAAAATGGATTGTCGTGTCTGGATTCTGGAAGAAGATGCTGACAGTCTAGTTTGAACTCTTTGGATTGGTTGGGATTGGATACTTGGGACTGAAGTGGTTGTTTGGGATTGTCTAGTTTAAACTCTTTTGGTTGGTTGTGATTAGACCGCTTGTACTTGAGGGGTTTGGGGTTGTCTAGTTTGAACTTTTTGGGTTGGTTGGGATTGGACAGCTATGACTAAAATGGTTGTTTTGGATTGGACAGTTTGGACACTTGTTGCAGTTTGGCCCTGTTTTGGTTTTGCATGACGTGATGCTTTGTTGTGTCCAGAAATACCACATATTAAACATTTATCTGGCATCCCCTTCCTTGAAACATTTTTTGAATCCTTTCTCTTTTCATCAGTCTCCTAGTTTCTTCTTCTTTTGGCCTCCCCGATACTCTTCTTAAAGGTAGTGGAAGTATGTCAGGATAAGGTGTATGTTTCCATAAATTTTCTCCATTTGTTGGATATATGAACGGTTAGTAGCAAGCATGGTATGCATCCTTCCTATAACATTCAGGGGTGTATTCAAATGGGTCTAGAGAACTACTCTGTATGCAAGAAATTGCATGGTATCATAGAATGCCAGTGAGCATCTAACTCCTGCAACAACACTCCAACCTTTTAAGATCAACTGTAAATTTTTCACTACTTCATAAATCATGTCACCTGATAACCTTTGAAACAAATACAATTCATTGAGTTAGTGTTAATAAACTTAAAATATTTGTAAAAGTAATTTGTAAATTGAGGTATCTAACACAAAAATGTTTGTCTGAAAACCTTTTTTTGAAGTTGCTGTTATAAAGGTGTCATACACAAAATCCCTGGTCAACTCTATGTAACAACTTATCTGTTGCAGGTAAACCCTAATCATACATTAAACACACTTTGTTACAATGCACACATGACATTTATGTTTCAATTTGATGCTTCATTACTTCTGATGGAAACTGAACTTCCTTCATCCACATATTTTTTCTTAGGTCTTCCCTTATGCCTTTTGGAACTGACTTATGACTTCTTCTTTGATGGTCTCCCTCCCTTCCTCTTTCTATTAGGAGTTGTTTTATTTGCTAGTATATCAACATTAGGTTAATCACTTTGGCCTACAGGTAACACTCCTTCTCCTACAAATACTTCAACAAATCAATCATTTAAAACCTCATCATCTGAGTCAACAAAATCTCTTTCTCCTAATGCACTTCATCACTATCATCAGGTTAGGCCTCATTCTATTTCTCAGCTTGGTCCACACAATCCTCCATATTTTGTTCCTCATGATGGTCCACACTTTGATCCACATTTTCTTCAACAGGTTGATCTTCACACACATCAACATTTTGTTCCTTAGCTTGGTCCACACAATCCTCCACATTTTGTTCCTCATGTTGGTCCCCACTTTCATCCATATTTTCTTCAACCAGGTGGTCCCCACACACATCCATATTTTGTTCACAGCTTGGTCCACACAATCCTCCACATTTTGTTCCCCATACTGGTTCCCACAATCCTCCATATTTTGTTCATCAGCTTGATCCCCCAC